CTACCCACCAAAAAAAGCCCAGATCCAGATGGGTTGACAGCCAAATTCTACCAGAAATACAAAGAGGAGCTGGTACGATTACTTCTGAAACTATTCCAAACAGTACAAAAAGAGGGAATCCTTCCTGAATCATTTTATGAGACCAACATCACCCTGATACCAAAACCCAGCAGAGACTCAGCAAGACAAGAGAACTTCAGGCCAATATCCATGATGAACAGAAATGCAAAAATCTTTAATAAAATACTGGCAAACCGACTGCAACAGCACATCAAAAAGCTTACTGACCATGATCAAGTAGGCTTCATCCTGGGGATGCAAGGCTGGTTCAACATATGTAAATCTATAAATGTAATTCACCACATAAACAGAATGAAAGACAAAAACCACATGATTATCTCAATTGATGCAGAGAAGGCCTTTGACAAAATTCAACAGCCCTTTACATTAAAAACACTCAATAACCTAGGTATTGATAGAATGTATCTCAAAATAACAAAAGCTATTTATGGCAAATAAACAGCCAATATCATACTGAATGGGCAAAAACTGGAAGCATTCCCTTTGAAATCCAGCACTAGACAATGATGCCCTCTCTCACCACTCCTATTCAATATAGTACGGGAAGTTCTAGCCAGAGCAATCAGGCAAGAAAAAGAAATAAAGGGTATTCAATTAGGAAAGGAGCAAGTCAAATTGTCTCTATTTGGAGATGACATGATCGTATATTTAGAAGACCCCAGCGTCTCAGCCCAAAATCTCCTGAAACTGATAAGCAACTTTAGCAAAGTCTCAGGACATAAAATCAACGTGCAAAAATCACAAGCATTCCTATACACCAATAACAGACTTAAAGAGAGCCAAATCAAGAATGAACTGCCATTCATAATGGCTACAAAGAGAATAAAATACCTAGGAATATAACTAACAAGGAACATAAAGGATCTCTTGAAGGAGAACTACAAACCACTGCTCAATGAAATAAGAGAGGACATAAACAGATGGCGAAACATTCCATGCTCATGGTTAGAAAGAATCAGTATCGTGAAAATGGCCATACTGCCCAAAGTAAGTTACAGATTCAATGCTATCCCCATCAAGCTACCAATGACCTTCTTCACAGAACTGGAAAAAACCACCAGGAACTTCATATGGAACCAAAAGAGAGCCCACATAGCCAAGTAAATTCTAAGCAAAAGAACAAAGCTAGAGGCATCACACTACCGGACTTCAAACTATACTACAAGGCTACAGTAATCAAAACAGCATGGTACTGGTCGCAAAACAGAGATATAGACCAATGGAACAGAACAGAGGCCTCGGAGGCAACACAACACATCTACAACCATCTGATCTTTGACAAACCTCACAAAAAAAAAGCAATGGGGAAAGGATTCACTGTTTAATAAATGGTGTTGGGAAAACTGGCTAGCCATGTGCAGAAAGCAAAAACTGGACCCCTTCCTGACACCTTACATTAAAATTAACTCCAGATGGATTAAAGACTTATGTAGACCTAACATTATAAAAACCCTAGAAGAAAATCTAGGCAAAACCATTCAGGACATAGGCATAGGCAAGGACCTTATGACCAAAACACCAAAAGTATTGGCAACAAAAGCCAAAATAGACAAATGGGACCTAATCAAATGCCAAGGCTTCTGCACAGCAAAAGAAACTGTAATTAGAGTGAATTGGCAACCAACAGAATGAGAAAAAATTTTTGCAATCTACCCATCTGACAAAGGGCTGATATCCAAACTCTACAAAGAAAACAGATTTACAAGAAAAAAACAAACAAGCCCATTCAAAAGTGGGCAAAGGATATGAACAGACACTTTACAAAAGAAGACATACATGAGGCCAACAAACATGAAAAAAATGCTCATCATCACTGGTCATTAGAGAAATGCAAATCAAAACTACATTGAGATACCATCTCACGTCAGTTAGAATGGTGACCATTAAAAAATCGGGAAACAACAGATGCTGGAGAGGATGTGGAGAAATAGGAACACTTTTACACTGTTAGTGGGATTGTAAATTAGTTCAACCATTGGGGAAGACAGTGTGGCAATTCTTCAAGGACCTAGAAATAGAAATTCCATTTGACCCAGCAATCCCATTACTGGCCATATATCCAAAGGATTATAAATCGATTATAAGGACACATGCACATGAATGTTCACTGCAGCACTGTTTACAATAGCAAAGACTTGGAACCAACCCAAATGCCCATTGATGATAGACTGAATTGAAAAAATGTGGCACATATACACCATGAAATATTATGCAGCAATCAGAAATAATGAGTTTGTGTCATTTGTAGGGACATGGATGAATCTGGAGAACATCATTCTCAGCAAACTGACACAAGAACAGAAAATCAAACACTGCATGTTCTCACTCATAGATGGGTGTTGAACAATGAGAACACATGGACACAGAGAGGGGAACATCACACACTGGGGTCTGTTTGGGGGGAAATAGGGGAGGGACAGTGGGGGGTGGGGAGCTGGGGAGAGACAGCATGGGGAGAAATGCCAGATTTGGTAATGGGGAGGAAGGCAGCAAATCACACTGCCATGTGTGTACCTATGCAACAATCTTCCATGTTCTTCACATGTACCCCAAAACCTAAAACACAATTAAAAAATAAAATAAAATAATTCCTACTGTTATAGATATCCTTTTATCCTAAATCCATCAGGTTCAAATAGACTATTGTCAAACAATATACAAAGATAATTTTATGGTGTCTCTCTAGCCCCATAAAATTCTAAAGAGTCTTCTAATTTATAGTAAGTTTTATGGTTAAATATGGCTTTTTTACTTTAATTTTTAAAATTGACAAACCATAAGTCCTAAATAGAATAACTCTAGATTGACCAAAATGCTATATTTTTATTTTTATTTTTGTAGAGACAGGGTCTGGTGATGTTGACCAGCCTGGTCTTGATCTCCTGGACTCAAGGAATCCTCCCACCTTTGCTTCCCAAAGTGCTGGGGTTATAGCCACTGCACCCAGCATTACCAGAATATTATTAACAGAAGATTAATAAATTATTAAATCAAAAATTACATTTTGAATGTACACTATGTTAAGTACACTGTATTAAGCACACTGGGGCAAAACAGAGCACATAACACACTATAACCGGGTACCCAATGACCTATTCTGTAATTTATTGGTGTTACTTAGTGGTTTAACTCATAAGATATGATATCAGAAGTATTTTGGTTTCTATCCTGGCTCTACTTACTTGCTATGTGATCCTGGCCAAATTTTCAAACCTCTAAATAATAAGCTAATAATACTATACAGTTTATGAGTTGTAATAAATATTAAATAAAATGAATTCAAAGTGCTCAATACATTGCTTAATACAGTCAGTTGTCATCAGTAGGTATTAGTTGACATAATCCTAACCATCAGTTTTATAATCTTCACCTTGACATAATGATCTAGGTCATGGCCTTAGCTTAGGATCTCTAGAAAATAGAGCCTGAATCAAGGATTAAGTGCTGATGCTTTCTGTGGGTTGTACAAACCAGGCGGGGGAAGGGAGATGAGGCAAAGAAGGATGAAAAGCCATGTAAAATGCTATTACCCTGTTGATCACTGCTTCCCAATGACCCAGAGATAGGCATAGCAGATCACTCAGCAAAAGAACCTGCTTGACCATACAGGACTTCAAATGAGTTTTGCATGCAGTTGGAATAGTGCATGGGAAGGAGTAAGAAGGGAAAAGAAGTATTTTGCTTTCTTCCTGTCATCTTCAGTTTCCCATTAGTCAAATATTACTTCATGGGAATTAATACCATCACACTTCTGAGTTGTGTCATCTAGCTCTTTGGTGGCTACTTAAGATGCCAGTCACTATGCCCAGTACTGTGCAATTTCATCAGGGTGAATTTCAACTATGCATTCATAAACTGAAGTTAAAAGTTCAAGAGTCTAAAGAAGTAATGGGAGGAGTCAGAAATTTGGAATTGTAGCCAGCAAACCTGACTGCCCTGTAGCTACTGCCCAGTGGCAGCATGTATCGCTGTCAAACCATTGGCAACTTGGGCTGAGAAACAAACCTGCTGAGGGAATCTAAAGCAGGACATAAGGATCTGGGTCATATACACTCTGGTTCTTACATGTCAACAACCTGTAATTAGAGACCTCTAATAAAGGTGTATTAGTCAGGTTTTGCTGCATAACAAACAACTGCCAAATCTCAATGGCTTAAAACAAAAAATGTTTTTTCCCTCGGAAGTCTGCAGGTCAGCAGTGGATTAGCTGAGCTCAATTAGGCTCAGCTTGGCTCAAGTTCAGGTTCATTTTTTGTATCTCTGATTCCGGGACCCAAGCAAAAGGAGCCGTGGCTATCTATGGTGTGTCCTTCTCATGGCAGATGGCAGGAACATAAGAGAGGCCAATGGAAACTTGCCATGCCTCTTAAAGCATTGGCTCAGAGCTGGTATGCTGGCACTTCTGTGAAAAACAGCAACAATAATTCACAAAACTAAAGTTTATAATCCACATTCTTCTTCTAAAAGGACTTGCAATGCCTCTAGTATAACAAACTTCCATCTTTGATACTTTAATTTTTTCAGGATAATCCATATTCTTAATACCTAAAGTAGCATGAATATTTCTCTTAATTAATTTGGTTTTCACAGTCACATTCTGAATCCTTTGAGGTGTCTATTCTTCTAAGTCATCTTCCTTGTACTGAAATTTGATTATTGAACACAACAACAATTTTACTTCATTAGCAATACCACTTGTTCCTGTTAACACTCCCAGAGACAAAGGACATCTAGAGAAATGTAGAACTCCAAGTACTATGCATTCACAAACTGGAATTAAAAGTTCCTAAGCAATAGAGTTTTGGATACCAAGAATAGCTTAGCTGTTCCCTAGCCTTCTTCCAAGCCCCATGTGTTTGCTTAGTTAACACACTAAACTTTTTTTTTCTTTTTTTTTTTTTTTACTACTGCCAGCATTGCAAAGTCAAAATAGCTGTGGAGGAACAAGCTGTTCTGCCTCATGTCTCATCAACATTCCTTGCTCAGTGTATCAAAACACAGAGTGCATACAGAGCAAATGCAACAACTCTTCAAAAAGTTCCCTGTTGGGGATTTTCTTCTCGGGAAACCATCCACAACTGCCTACTTAAAACATCAAAAGAAAGGTGGGTCTCCTGCTCAAATCCAAGTGAAGTCACAGCAAGCAAGTATGGATTTAAACTTGGATTACGGATTTAAAGTATGGATTTTTGCCACTTGAAAAATAAAAATCTGTTATATAGGCCTGCATGAACTAATATCAAGATTAAAATGTGCAAACAAGTTTTCTTTCCAAAAGACCAATTTAAAATTATGAGGTGAAGTTATTTCACCAGGTCATTTAGAAAAAATTCATTGAACTAACATTTTAACCCAAATTTCCTTAGTCATCTAGGAAGAATTTTGATTTCAAATAGCAACTATATTGCAAATAATACTAAGCCAAGTATATAAGAAGGGTCCATTTAAAGAAAGCAAATGGAAAGGTTGATAAGATGATCAAAGTAATTTCCCTTCAGATCACAGATCAGCTAATCACCTTTGCCTTTTAAGAAAGAGAGAGGGGAAAAAAAACCAAACAGGAGAATGATTAACCTATTTGTCCACATTTGAACATATATAAAATAAAGTATTCAATTTACAGTCTTTCTCTTATTCATGATATGATAATTAAATTAATACCTATCCGAATGGAATAGTTTCTATTTACATAGTTAAAACAAATGGTATTTCATTTAACACAAAAACAGTTGACAGTCAGAATTTGGTTGATATCTGAAATAATATTTAATAATTACTACTCTTGCAAGTTACATATGAGTGACTGTAACAATAGTGAGAGAGAACACTTGCCAGAAAGAATGTAGTGATGTTTGAGCAGAACTCTAGCAAGAAATCACTTCCTTCTCAGCAAAAACCAAGATGATCTAAACCACCATCTACTTCAACCACTGCTTCTAACTCCCTGTACCCTAAAGGGAAGGTTTCCCAAGTATTCTTTTCAAGTGACCACAATAGACAATTGTGCTTAGACATATGGGACGATAGCCATATAACCCTACATGCCAGCAAAGCAATGAAACAGAGGAACAATACAGTATGAAATAAATAAATAAATAAATAAATAAATAAATAAGTGAGCCATTGCATTTAGTTTATAGAAACTGATAATCCTGAAGGCATAAGTCATCCCTGAAACAAAAATTGCCAACTTGGAGTAGATTGTGAGGATTGCTATTTAGTGTAGAAATTACAAGAGGAAATGGTAGAGAGCCAGGTGAGAAAAGAAGAGCTCATAAACAAGATGGACCTAAACTTGTTCATATCCTCTTCTTACTTTAAATATTTCACTTATGGCCGGACACAGTAGCTGATAGCCATATAACCCTACATGCCAGCAAAGCAATGAAACAGAGGAACAATACAGTATGAAATAAATAAAAAAAATAAATAAATAAATAAATAAATAAATAAATAAGTGAGCCATTGCATTTAGTTTATAGAAACTGATAATCCTGAAGGCATAAGTCATCCCTGAAACAAAAATTGCCAACTTGGAGTAGATTGTGAGGATTGCTATTTAGTGTAGAAATTACAAGAGGAAATGCTAGAGAGCCAGGTGAGAAAAGAAGAGCTCATAAACAAGATGGACCTAAACTTGTTCATATCCTCTTCTTACTTTAAATATTTCACTTATGGCCGGACACAGTAGCTCATGTTTTGGGACACTGAGGCAGGAGGATTGCTTGAGGCCAGGAGTTTGAGACCAATCTGGGCAACAGGTAAAAAAATTAAAAATAAAAAAATTAGCCAGGCTTGGTGATTGCACCACTATACTCCAGCCTGGATGACAGAGCAAGACCGTGTCTCTTAAAAAAAAAAAATCACTTATACTTTAGTAATGAGATATTAGAAGACAATATAGAGGGGACTGGCACAGAGCCTGGGCTGTTCAGTCAGTCCCTCCTTCTCAGGATGTTGCATTCTCAGCACGTTCTACAGTTTCTCTACAAACAAAAAAGGAGGGAGAACTGGGTAGATCTAAGGCCACCTGGAGAACCGTCCTGCATCTAGTGGGTCAGCAAATATTTTTTAAGTGCTTACAATGCACTGCACAATGGTAAAAATGGATATCAAGAATGACAGTGAGGCAGGGAAACATCAGACCTCATACTGAATATAACAAAAATGCATTTTTTAAAATTTGCTGTTTTAACAATTACGTGAAGAATTCCTCAATTTATTAGGGCAAAAGGCTAAGCAGCTATAATAAAGACACTGAATCATACTTTAAAAACAAGTTTGTATCTCTTTTCAAACAGCTCTGAGGAAAGCAGTCTAATTTGGTGGGGTGGCTCTGCTCCATTTTGTCATTGGGGTTTCAGACTCCTTTCATCTTGTTCCATCCCCTTGAGCATCACTGTTACCTGCAGGGTTGAAGACTGGAGTTCAGCTAGAGGGAAAGGGAACACATGAAAGAGGCACTTCACTGCCTTCAGGACTCGACCAGGGTTTAGACACCTCACTACTCACATTTAATTGGTGAAAACTTAATCACACTCAGATGCAAAGGAGTCTGAGAAATGTGGTCTGGCCTCATTGTTTTTTTGTTTTGTTTTGTTGTTTTTTAAGTCACTGAGTTGGTGGGTCTCCTTACTGCAGCAGCTTAGTGTTTTGCCCTAATTAAGGGTACATGGAAAAAGAAGAGAACAATATTTGTTGGACAACTGCAATCCAACAAAGAATTTCTAAGGAATGACATGAAAAAGATGATTTTATATAGTACATTTTAGAGTCTGTATAAAGAAAAATTATTTCTGCTCAGAATCTGGTCCTATCCTACGAAAAAATTAAATGACAATTTATCATTTCAGAAATAATCTAGAGTAAACTTCTATCACAAGAGAAAAATGAGGCCCAAATAAATGAAGTTGCCTACTCAAGCAGCTGGTAAGAGAAGTAAGACTGGAACTCACATTTACACATTCTTGGCCTAGTATTCTTCACAAGCCTGGCAGGAATTCGCTAAATCATGTACTTGCTTAAGTCATATGAGCTCTCTAGATAGTCAACCAAATGATGTAAACTCTAAAGTCGATTTTTTTCCCCTCCCAAATTTGATGATTTTGCTTTCTAGCCAATTCAGAAGTCCCCGTAACTGCTAATGCTCTGTTTTATATTTTAACGTAATGTATTTAAATGACAGAGGAAGTTGAAAGGATTTTTAAATATCCTTTCCTAGAAGAATCAGAACAATTATGATGTAAAGTGAATGTCTATTCACCAGTAACTCTCCTCATTGCAAAGCAGAATTTCTGTGTTCGTTGCCACAAAAAAAGGAATTCATCATGGCAGAAAGCAAAGAGAAAGAGACGTATCTTTCAGTCTCTTTTTGTTTTGAGGATCTAGGCTGGTTTCTTAACAGTGGCACTAATGATATTTTGAGCCAATAAGTATTCGTTAATAAGGTGCTGTCCTGTGTACTGTAGGATATTTAGCAGCATCCTTGGCCTCTACCTACTAGATGTCAGTAAAACCCCCCAGCTCTCTAGATGTGACAACCAAGAGTGTCTAAACATTGCTAAATGACCTCCAGTTGAGAACTGTTGATTTAGGCTGTTAAGGGAATAGAAAAGAAGACATAGACAAAAGATCTTAGTGAAAACATTATGAGTAGGCAAGAATTTCCTACTCTCCCACACTACCTTCAAAACAAGACTAGAAAAACATTCCTCAGTCTGAGTGATAGGAACAGAGTCAGAGAGGAAGTAAGGAGAACATGCATCAGCAATAAACCCAGAGCTATTCCTTGGACCAAGTCCTGGAGAGGTGGCAACAACCCCAGAGAATGTTTGTGGGGTTCAAAAGCAGAGGCAACTTGCAATTCATTGTCCTAATAAAGTGCTGTGGCTGGGAAGTGTCAATATCCCAGACGAGAGATAGTTGCAGAACATATCCATATAAACCACAGTATGACTTGGGAGCACTGGAATAATTCCTGATCACTTAAGAGTGACCTGGAAATGTGGAGAAAATGGCAGACCAAAAAGGGCGATGTCAATGGGAGCAAAGGTCATCTCCACAGCAACCAGGGAAGAATACTGATGGTGAATCAAGTGAGGGATGCTCAGAGACACAGGATAGCTTCATGATGTTAAGAATGTGTGGGTCCTGTCCCAATGTCACATCTTACTGCTACTTAACACAACTCCAGAGAAAGAGAAGGGTTTCTCCAAACTGAATAAGATTAATTGCCTGCCACTCAATTTAAAAAGGGACTCTGTATTAGTTTCCCGGGGCATGCCACACAATTACCAGAAACTGGGTAGCTTCAAACAATAGAAATTTATCCTCTCACAGTTCTGGAGATGACAAGTCTAAAATCAAGTTGTTGGCAGGGCCATGCTCCCTCTGAAGTTTCTGGGAAAAAACTTTCCCTGCCTCTTCTAGTTTCTGGTGGTTGTCAGCATTTCTTTGTATTCCTTGACTTCTAGATGAATCTCTCCAATCTCTGCCTCTGTCCTCTCATGGTTGTCTCCCCTGTGTGCCTGTGTCCAAATTCCCTGTTTTTTTTAGGGCACACTCTCACCTAATTTGGCCATACCTTAACTTGATTACATCCGCAAAGTCTCCATTTTCAGATAAGGTCACAGATTTTAGGTGGACATCAATGTGTCAGGGGAAGAGGACGAGGAGGGGTGGATATTTAACTCAGTTCAAGCTGTAATAGAAGTTAAGCAAGCTTTAGAAAAATAGTTATATCTTTTGCCTTCCTGAGTTTGTAATTTAAAGTTTGTACCAATCATAGGCCATAAAGAAAAGTGTTACCGTACCAGCAATTGCTAAAAATAGTACATTCTAGCTCTTCAATAACAAACCATTCCTCTTCTATGATTCTGAGAAAGATTTAGAGTCTTCTTTCAGCTATGCCATAACATGTGTTAAACCATTCATTCAATATAGAGGAAAATCACTGATGCATATAATTAGTAGTTAAACTTTTTGAAAAATATACTATATTCAAATAAAAAGAAGACAGTACAAGGAACTTACACCTCACTTGCTAGAATAAACTGTTCTGCCTCATGTGCTTTTCTTCTCTTGCAAAACTGGTGAGGTATATCAT